TGGGTTGGAAACGTACCTGCCCGTGTTTTAAAGGTGAATACAGTAGATTTTTGGTCGTCCAATCGATGAAAGGGGGGCTTGAGTTTAGCTGCAGGGGAGGAGACTTACCTGTTAGTAGGCTGAATCCTCCCAGTCCTGCCGAAAGAATCATTCTGGTTTGGCTTCCGTTTCGGTGACGAAAGTGGTGTCAGGTCCACAAGCAAGGGGCAGACAGAGTGCGGCGGACAGTTCACAGTCGGGTCAGCGGGTGGGCTGTGGCAGTGTGCCAAACCTTGTATAAACAGAAAAGTGCAGGGTACGTGCAGTTCAACATTGGGGGTTTCGGCGAGTGGCCTGAGCAAAGTGAACAGAGAGTCGGGGTGAGGTGTCGAGCATCGAAAAGCACTGTGCATGTGTCTGCCTGTGCATCTGGCACCAGGTTTACTCTCGTTCATATAGTTGACTGGGCGCAGCTTGAACCAAGAAGGAGAGAGAGACTTCTTATCTGGCACCGTGGCACGGGCAACAAGGAGGGGATTCGAGGTGTGAAGGCACAGGTGTGCTTACAAAGAAGGCCAGCAATTTGCAGTTATTACTGTTAAAAGGCCTTAATAGGCGCAATTATCTTGATGACGGGTTGGTGGTTTTTCCTGCGGGGCTGTGAGCATGCGTTGTTGCGGGGTGCCCGGGGGCCGCTGCTGTGATCTTTGGCAACGGGCTGATATGCTCCGGGCGAGTTTTGGCTAGAGCCTGGTTGTGTGCAGGTTGTATGGCGTCGCGCCGCGTCTAGCCTATGCAGTGTGGTCTCGTGTCCCACACCATGTGTCGCTGGGCCTTATGTGTAGTACTGTAGCGCGGTACCTAGTCGCTAGCTACTGTGCTACCTTACTGTTGCGCACACAGTGCATACCGATGCGCTGGGTTCCCTCTATCTTTGACTCTTTGTTTGAGTGAGCATGAAAATCTGGTCTATTTTTTAACGCATCTTTCTGGCCTGCATAGCGGCATGTTGGCAATAGGGGACCATAGTGTGATTTGGGGGTGTGATTGAACTTTATAGAAGGGCTACTGCTACGATGTGGAGAAGCGACAGAGAAGTCAACAGTTGGCGGTAAGATTTCATTTTGACCAAGCTGCTGCTGTGTTTTGGCCATCATTGCGGGACCCTCAGGCGCATCAAGATAACAAGGTCCTCTCCTGGGAGTTGAGTCAGTCCCCCTCCTGTATCTCGAGAGTCCGAAACCCCTTGTCTTCTGTTCTTCTTATTCTAAGTCTAATCCAATTCTGAGAGGAAGGCGGCAGGCGGGATTGCAACCCGTAGGACCGCAGTAAGACTCTGTGGGGAGTCAGCCCACCGATTGCGGGAGCCCTGCCGGAACTCAGGAGGAGTTCAAGAGGCAGGGAATTGAAAGGTAACCATTGCTGTCCTTCTATAAGCCCATCTATAACCTTTATCTGTATTCCTTGTTATATTTGACTGAATATGTTGTGTGCATCCTTATTTTGACTTTTAGTTTAACTTTCAGGACACAATCAAACTAAGTAAAGGAATGCATGTGCAATGACAGTTTCAGTTTTGTTGTCTGTCTGAAAGCAGATTGTAACAAAGGGTTGCATCAGGGGGAGGGTTGGGAGAAAGGCAGTTTGCTTGGGTCTGAACGAGTGTTATAAGGTCAGGCATTGTTTCTAAGACGAATGGTCTGACAGCTATGTTTATTTGGTTGTTTTCTGAAGGGCCAGACATTGTTTCTAAGATGAATGGTCTGGTTGTTGTGTTTATTTATGAGGGTTAGCCTGATTGAAGGGGTTTAAGTTTTTATTTTGTTCTGAGGGAGGTTCAGGCCAAAGACTAGACATTGTTTCTAAGATGGATGGTCTGAGTCTGAAGCCACAAGATTATAATGTGAACAAAGGAATAGGGCTCTCTATATTTTTATATATTTATATGTTTATGAGAACAAGGCTAGCCAGACATTGTTTCCAAGACGAATAGTTTGAATATAGCCTTATCACAAATCAATAGAGTATAGCTAAGAGCTATAACTGAAGGTAACTTGGGCAGGCTGAGCATTGTTTCTAAGACGAATGGCTCAGTCCTATGCTCGCTTTGGAAGATTAAGTTCAGAGAATTATATATAACTTGGCTATTTAAATTGATGAGGGCGACTAAGCATTGTTTCTAAGACGAATGACTTAGTCGTATGCCCAATGAAGAGAAAAGTAGTTGTGCAACCTGTTTGTGTATAACTAAGGCAAAGAGTTGACATTATTTCTAAGATGAATGACCTAACTCTATGCCTTATGTAAGCTGGGTATAAAGGGCTAAATCATGAAAGATTATGAACTATTGTTTGTTAAGTTGACTTGGGGATGGTGAGAGTACTTACCTTTGTGGTTTGGTCTGCATGTGACTGAGTGCGACTACTACTTAGTCTGAGTTTCAGTTTGATAGATAGTCGCTTTAGCTGCTCGCTACGTGCTAGAGTCATAGGAGTTAATTTCAATTCCTGCATTTTCTGAGCTAAGTTTATTTTTACTTAGGTCAATTTCTGCATTTTCTGAGATCTTTTATTATACTAGGTCTTGTATAAATCTTGTTTAGCTACTTTTTCTTCGGGAAGAGATGCCGAAATTTCTATAAAACCAAGGAGTTAGTCAAATTTTGTCTTTTCAAAGTTCAGTTCGTCTGACTTTTATATATGACTTAGTAAAAATTAGGAGAGTCTCATTTTCTAAAGGGAGTGCTGCCCAATTTTTTGCTAATTCAGGGAGTTAGACAAAATTGGACCTTGGGAAGTCAAAATTCTAAACCTAGCTTTGTATAAATTTTGGTAAGTTACTTTCTCTAGGGGAAGCGCTGCCGAAATTTCTGCAAATCCAAGTTGTTAGTCAAAATTTGACTTTTCAAAAGTTCAACTTGTCTGATTTTTATATATGGATTAATAGAGATCTGGGAAGTCTCATTGTCTAAAGGGAGTGCTGCCCAAATTTTTGCTAATTCAGGGAGTAGGATAAAATTTGACTTTGGAAGGTTGAAGATTATTTCTATGTTCATATTTAGACTGATATAAATTCTGGAAAAGCATTTTTCCTACAGTAAGCGTTGTCGAAATTTTCCTAGTTTAGAGGAGATAGATATATTTTGACAGGTGGCGACTCTGACGATCCACTCTGTATGGGGAAGATTCTGCCATAGGTCTACCTTTTTTTGGGTACAGGCTTAGAGGTAGACCTAGGCTTAGTTATGAGGAGAGTCTTGAGTGAGAGCGTGTTATGGAGATTGAATCTCTATACATTGACGATTTAGCTTGGACATTGACCTCTCGTATGATACAAGTCCCCTTTGGACATTCGATCCAGCATTCTGACTAGTTTCAGCTTGATCCTACGAGGATCATCTTCTGTTATCACTGATAACAGGTCGGTTGGTTGATTGCCAACTCGTCGGCTCACGACACAACTTTGCTTACACCTGTATCTCAACCTGATTGCCTTAGCTCTGAGATTTGATATGTTTCTGTAAGGGTTTTAACCGAACTTCTGTTAAATGGCCATTATAAAGAACTTATGAGATTTATGGAAAGTTGGATTATGACTGAGGTTTGAGTGTGTGAAGCGTGGTGTGAGTCACATGGAACAGTAAAGTTCACCACATTGGTGTATGGCAATGTGGCTATTGTGTGTGTCTGTGTTTTATGTAGGTTAGTATTTTAGAGTTTGGTATATGGGTCATACTTTGGATGCAGTGAGAATGACAACCATGTGTCGCACGATCTGCATACCTGATGGGCTTATGTTTTTTTCTTTTTTTGTTGTTATCTCGAGCCCTAATGTGATATATGAGTTTTTGGATATTTATTTATTTATTGGGTGAATTTGCTTGTTAATTTTTATAGTTGTACGTTGTAGTCCGTGACAGTCGTCAAAGTCAAACCCCTTGACTTCTTCCCTGACTCTGGATGAGAGAGTTGGTCCCCAGGGTCATAAGAGACGATTGCCACCACAAGTATGAACCTGTGTACCACCCACTCTTCGCAGGGTGCAGAAGAGGGTGTGGTTTTCAACCGTACTCGGCGATCATCCAGCGTCGAGAGATCAATCCCTCAAGGCCCATATCATCCGACACTTGAGTGTCGAATGCGACCCTCGAGATTAACGAGGACCGCATGAGTATGGGTACTATATAGTACGCCATCGTTGTGACCGCTTGCGTATGCTTGCATTGCGAGTCGATATGAGTTAGCCCTGCGTCCGCACGGTTTTATACTATATCTCGCACGCAACGCCTATCCGATTTCCGCATCGAAGAGTTATGGGATGACCACTAAGGGACTAGGAGTGTTGTTGTATTGTTTGTTCTGTGTCGTTTCGTGTATATGTAGGTGTACGTGTTTTTATTTTTATGTTCTATAGAGTGGTGTGCGCGTGGCATGTGGGATGCGTCCTAGTCGACCGATGATGAGTCGCGCTTGGGACCTCAGCCCCCAAGACGTCGGCTCGCGTGCGTGTCCGATAGAGGTGTAATACCGCGCTTACCCCCTATGCTACAGTAGACGAGAAACGCCCTCGGTTGGTCCACCTCTGCGATTGCAACTGATCAGCTTTCGTACTGTGGACTGGTAGCTCGGCGGGGATACGCCCACCGAAGGGAGGTGACAACTCCGTAAGGTGGAGGTAAGTCGTGCCTCACGTAGGCCCTGTCCTATCGTAGGGGCTCGCGAGAGGTATAGCTGGCGCACTCGGCCGGAGCGGCTTGCGGAAGCTCCACGTATATTCACGACAAGGATTTAGAGCAACTCCTGCGCGACGCAAACGGGAGGGTCCCGCGCTGCCTTGTGCGGTGCCGGACCGATGCGCTCGACAATGCGTTCACTGTTTTCAAATGGCGTGTCCTCGGCTTGAACACGACGTCCTACCGGACTGGCGGCCTTGGATTGTCGGTTTCAGCGTGCCGTTCGGGGGGCGGAGGGGGGGGTATTGGGGTGGGGGACCTGCCGGATAGGGCGTCACGAGGCCTTCGTGGGGGGTTGTGGGGTGCTCGCAGTGATGGCCCAAGGGTGAGGGGGGGGATGGTCAACCATGGGGAGGGGACAGGCACGGTCGTTCGAGGAGGCCGACAAGCTCGCACAGCACAAGGTGTGGAGGAAATGCGTCGTCTTCAAATATATTCGAGTCGATGAAGACCTTAGGAACTGTGGCACAAAGATGATCAATTGTGTCTTTTGCGGTCACAAATTCCAGAGGACACAATTTGTTGTGGCAAGGCACTTCAAACAGGGGAAAGGGTGCCCACAGGTCACAGAGGAGGCACTCGTGGATATCCATTATTGTACTACCTACAAGATGGTGGACAAGCAGTTGGAGCGGCTGCATCATTACAAGGAGCTTCAAGGTGGTGCGCCAGCTGTGGCTGCGGATGGTGTGGCAGGAGGGGACGGCAAGTCAGGTGTTGCTGTCGAGGAAGATGAAGTGCAGGAGGTGGATGACATGATCGATGCCAAAGGCGATGCGGTGCAGCAAGAGGTCGAGGAACCTTATACGCAGCGGCTGGGGAAGGCTATGGTGGGTGAGAGTTCAAGGAAGAGGAAGGAGAGAGAGGGAGGGGGGAATGTGGCCCAGCGAAAGAAGATGAGACAACATGCGATCAAGGACGTTCTTGCCTCCCAGTGGCTCATGTACCACAAGAAGAAATTTCCACCATTCGTGTACAACCAACAGATAGCCTTCACCATCTTCGGCAACGATGCTTGGAACGAGTACAAGAGACACTTCGTAGACTTGTCAGGGCCTATTAAGGTTTTATGGCCTCATCACAATGAGATCGTTGCGGTTAAGTCTATGCGTCAGACTGCTGATGATGTGGCTGCGGATTTGAAAGATGCCAGAGAGCCGTTTTACGTCACGAGCGTCCCGATCCTGTCAGATGGCAGGAAGTCTCACGATCACAGACCAGTTGTCAACTTCCTCGCCACAGCATCACGAGACGTGTTGATGATCAGGATGGTGAACAAAGAGGGTTCGCGTGATGACAGGCCTAGTGTTTTGGAGCGATGGGTGGATGTTTTCGAGCGCTTTGGCCCAAAATTAGTCAACGCTATCTGCACGGACTCAGCGGCAGCGTATACCGTCACCGCGAACGCATTGGCCCATCCCAAGATGAGGCCACAATGCATACGCATCACTTGGATCCCGTGTGTGGTCCATGTATGCAACAAGTTATTATCAGACATAGGCACAGTGAGCACATGGATCAACGACACTATACTACGGGCCGGGGCGGTCGTGTGGTTCATAAAAATGCATGGCGACACTTTCCACCTTTTCAGGTTGGACAACAAACACATGAGCCTCACTTACCCGTACGAGACACGTTCCACATCGGTCTTTGCTATGTTGGAGCATCTTATCGCTGTGAGGCAGGCTTTGAAGAGGACTGTCAACACGGCGGGGTGGAGTCTTGTCTCTTGGGATGCACGCGTTGAGAGGCTAGCAAGATGGGTGAGGTGGAAGGTTAGACATGGGAGATGGTGGGACATGATCGAGACGCTGGTCCGCATCATGGATCCTGTTTACGATCTGCTGCGGTGGTTGGATCTCGGTGGTATGCACATGTCACTCGTTGTGCCTGGGACATTGCAACTGCAAATTGACATGGCGAGGGAGCTTCGCGTTCTGCCGATTGTCGTGGCTAAGCGCACCTTCCGAAGGTGCAGCGCGGTGTCAGATGATGTTGGAGCCAACACACGCCGTAACTTTCCTGTTATGCCCTGCCCATCGCGATATGAGGTATTTTAGTAGCGTGGTCGATCTGTACCATGCCAGATTGGTGAGAGAAGCGGAGGCGTATATCCTCATGCAGTGCGGTTACGACACCACCAGCGATTAGTTCCGTGATTTTCATGAGCGTACTAGTGGCGCGATAGATTGGGGTGGTGTGGACGAGCAGCGAGACGCACGAAAATGCATCGGATCAGAGAGGCCGCCCATTGGTGGTCCAAGCATGGAAATTGCACCCCTCAGCTCCAGCCCATTGCTCTTCGTATGATGCATATATGGGCGTGCTCCTCTCCTGCGGAGATGAATTGGGTCGTCCATGAGAGCATTCACACGAAGAAGCGGAACATGTTTAAGTTCGAGAAGGTCGCAAAGTTAGTCAAGATAACGGCCAACATGCGCCTCCTCGCACACTAGTGCGCACTGCGCAGGCCACAAATTTGGTTTGCCGTGGACGGGCGACGAGTCGCTGCTCGATTTGGAATTTGGGATCGGGACACAACCGCTATGTGAGGGTCTAGGTATGAAGAGGGCACAGGAGGAGTGTGAGGAGCAGCATCGTTGATGGCAGAGACATCCATGAGGCTCGAAAGAGCCCGCGCCCTCGGAGGAAATTCTCGACACATGAGTGGCCACTCTCAGGCGGTACCTGAGAGATGACACCGACGACGACTCGTTGACGAGGACTTTCCTCAGCGAATTGATGTTGACGTCGGGGATGAGGGTGGCTGTGGTGGTGGATGGGACAACGATTGGAACGACCTGGAGATGTTCACAGACAAAGCGGTAGGATGGATGTTTTCGGGGATGGAGAGGGGGTGGAGGATTTGTGGGGTGAGTACGACAGGTTGGCGGAGTGTGGGGATTGTGATCCTGGCCACCACACACCGGATGTGGACTCTTTATTGAGGCACGTGTTGGGGACGGCGGGACGGTCAGTAGGTGGGATTGGGCTGCCAGGTTCTAGAATTGCATCGAGGGAGGGGGAGAGGTTGACCTCCTTCGTTGATCGTGCTTCCACCATCGTGGCAGGTGGTACCACAGGGGGGAGCGCCACGATGCAGATGTTGGAGTGGGGCGCCGAAGTGTGTGCTCGACGTCTGGTACTGGACGGGCCACCTTCAGTTATTCCAAAGGTGGATGGTGTTGGCGGAGCATCCAAAGAAGTTCGTGAGGGGGGGCGACACGCGGCAACAGATGTGGATGGTGGTCGTGATTCACCATGCCCTTTCAGTGATTTTGTCGATTTGGGGGCGCATCCTGGTGAGATTCCTTCTCGGGGCGGCACATCTGCAGCCATGGCCCATGGGCTATATCTTGGGCCAGATCGCCAAGGTCATGTCAGCCAGTTTCACACTTGGCATGCGCAGGGAGCTCGACGACTTCCCTTCTCATGGCATGGAGGGGATAGGGGGCAGAACGATGGCTGTCATTGGTTGATGACGACACAACGCCTCCGGGAGAGACGGCTTCGCAGAGGCAGGACAGGTTGGACAGAAGGCGAGCGCACCTTCTTGCGCGCGTGTGCTAGTTTACACAAAAGCTCTCACGCAGGGCGCAGGAGGAGCGTGATTTTGAGACTGGCGCTCGCACTCGTGACGAGTTGGTCGGTGAATCTGCCGTGGATCTAGAGTCGGGGGCCGATCGGTCGATCGCTATAGAGATGGAGAGGGAGGTGGTGTTGCCCACTACGGATGACACCGGCCCACCTTCAGGCCCACAACCTTATCCCAAACTAGAGGACATACTAACGGGCCGGTCCTAGTAGTTGATGGTCCATTGGGTTGCCGACGAGCGGAGGGACGGAGGAAGCGGTCGTGGCAAAGACCTGCGGATTTGAGGGTGCGCGGCCATATGACACCGCCACCGGCGCAGGGCAGGCACATGAGGATGTTCGCTCATGTCTTGCCCCAATCGCCGTGTTCGCTCATGAAGTTGTGGGTGGAGCGGAGGGGGTGACCACTGCCGAGGGCACAGGCTATGCGCCAGCGTCGGCAGTAGCTGCTGACGAGGGCGTGATGATGGCACCAGCAGTACATGGATCTGTGGTGGGTCCCGTCCGGGA